TACCTACCTATCTACCTACCTACCCTATATTTGTATATACACTTTTAAATATATTCTTTACAGCATATAGAAGTTGACTTTCACTTAATTACATGATGTCAAATGATCTTAAAACAGTGTTTATGACAATTACTAGATCTAATCCTATGGAGAAACACGTCATGCAGTATGTTGGATTTTAAGTATGACATATTTGAGCCTTCACTACATTTTCTAATCATTATCAATAAGCATTTTAATTACGTCAAGAGTGTATCCAATGAACCAGATTGGAAGGTTATAACAATCCTAATGAGTGTATCAGTGAGACCCAAACTTAGTTCAGAGACTGATCTGTTCTTCAGATGTTTCTCCCTTGACATATTTCAAATACAATACTCACTTTCCCCTCTGTTTTTTCCGTGCAGTGCACTGTAAAGAGGAGGGGGAGCTGATCGACAAGTTGTTCAAAGGCTACAACAAGAACATTCGCCCGGTGAAGCATCCTGAGGATAAGCTGGACGTCGATATTAAGCTGACCCTCACCAACCTCATCTCCCTGGTGAGATAAACACTGTTATACAAAATGATTCCCCATCAGGACTATGGACAATTAAGCGCACATTTATGCATAATAATGGCTGTTTGGTCAAGTGGTGCAGGAACGAGTCCTAAAACCCGGAAGTGAGTTAGCATTTGACCACTTCCGGTTCCCTCGTCTCAGAGTCAATGGGATTTTTGAACTAGGTTTTGGAAAATATCTGGAAATAAGGTCTGTGGTTGACACAAATTCAAGAGACGGATCACGTTTTGTTCTACGACATTAAATCCATCAGCAGTGACCCCACTGGTGATTTCTGAAGAGTTTACGTGTCTGAAAAACTATGGTTGTTACCAAGTGGCTGAATAGGACTACAGAAGTTGTGGAGGCCGCTGTACGTAGTTACGCCGAACACGTAAACACTCCCGCTAAGTTTGTTTGCCCTGTTCTGCTTGAAAGCAAGTACCTGCCTCCTGCAAACTGTTCAAACAAACACTTCAACTTGTACCATTTAGAATCTGTGTTTTTGAATATCGATCTTAAGTTGGCGTGACGTTGAAGCCCTGCTGTAGTTTGTTCATAGCATAACGTTAGCATTTTGCTTCTGGTGATTAGATTTATGATTCGAAAACTATAAAAGTGGGGTAGACATGTGGAGATTATCCGACTGAACAAAACGTGCATTTATCAATCAGTTTTCCACAGAACTTATTTTTTACAATATTCCAAATATCCTATGGGGAAATCCCGTTGCTTTTTTGTTGTTGTAACCAATCAGAGCAGACTTGGCTCTGGTTCCTGAGGGTAAAAAAAGAAGTGCTTAGAAAGATAAAGCACTTTTTAAACATTACAAGATGTGAAAAGTAGAGGCACAACATACACATTTGAGACCTCAAAGTGAGCATAATAAAACCCTAAAAGTAAATTTAAGAACGAAATGGAAATACTCAAAGTACAAGTAGGTCAAAATAGTGCAATACTTGAGTAAATGTATTTTGTTACATTGCACCACTGACTAAAATATTCATCCTGCTTCATCACTTATATCACAGAATGAAAAGGAGGAGACTCTCACGACCAATGTGTGGATTCAGATTGTGAGTTTCACTTCAATTGATACTTTTGTTTTGTTTGTGCAAATCTTTACAGTTAGGTTGATTTAGCCTCGTTCCATCAGCATCTATACATGTGTCAAGTTTTTAACGTCACTGACCCTTTTCTTAAATGTCATCTGCAGCAATGGGTAGATTATCGCCTTATGTGGAACACATCTGACCATCACGGCATCGACACTATTCGTGTCCCATGCAACAATGTTTGGCTTCCTGACATTGTCCTTGAGAACAAGTAAGGCAGTAAGAAAGAGGAGTTTCTCTACATCAGGGGTGTCCAAACATTTTTCACTGAGAGCCACATACAGAAAGACATACAAGGGCTTGGTCACTCACTTGGTGAGGTATATTGCCTTATAAGTTAACAAAATCAATCAGATGTAGGTAAATTATGCTTGATACTTGAATATGCTTTATTAGAAAAACAGGAGCTCTGCATAGGGTTTCATTTATTTTGTTACAAACAGTGTTGGCAGATCATTCCTTAAAATAGGAGCCTCAGATTGATTATTAAAATGGGAAATAGGGAGGGTGGATTTAAAAATTATATGTATATAAGTTATTGGGCTTTTTTTTTTATCAAATAAGATTTATTAGAAAAATACCTTCAACTTTAATTGACTGAATTTATTTAAATATTGGGCTTATTAACCCATGAATACTGTGTAATATATCTGTTAACATCTATATTTAATAAGTAAGACGAGCGCTCGTTTCAGGTGTGGGTCATATTCCTTTATCAATTTTGAATTTGATGAGGGCCGATTCAAAATAGTCAACGGGCCGTAGTTTGGACACCCCTGCTCTACATGTAGTGTCATTATACTGTACATTAACTAATCTGGTGTGAACTGCCTCTGTTTTTTCCTCATCATTCTTCTCTGCAGCATTGATGGAAAGTTTGACGTGGCGTACTACGCCAACGTGCTGCTCTACAACAACGGTGGTATTTTCTGGCTGCCGCCCGCCATCTATCGCAGCACGTGCTCCATCGAGATCACCTACTTCCCATTTGATTATCAAAACTGCACACTAGCATTCAGGTGTGGTACAATTCTATTTCAGTCAGACAACTCACGTGTTTCTTAATATGTTTATTAGAGTAGTATATAGTTTGAGTTTGGCGTCTAGGCTCGGGCCTCATCACTCCACAGATGTACACAGAACATTGAGTGATGATTAGATAACTATCCCCCGAGCCTACAGGTAGAAGCTGGGGTGGTGGTGGGGCAGGCGAGCAGCAGCAACATGAACACAGCAGCAGCAACATGAACGCAGCAATAGCAAGTGAACGCAGCAGTAGCACCTGGCAGCTTAAATAGAGCGGCATGTTTAGGAGAATGTGTTTGGTTGGTTGTTGGAGGGAAGAGGCGCGCCACGTGTTACGGCCCGTCCACACGGCGGCATGCGTTGAAGCTTCAACACTTCTGCCCATTCACTTTGAATGGGGTGACATCACACTTTGCCGAACTGGATTGTGGGAGCGTCGCTTCGCTTTGCTCGCTTTAAAAGTTGAGCAATGTTCCATTTTTGAAGCTTCGGCGGAAGCATCAGCCAATCAAATCATATGCCAGTAAAAGCTTTAGCCAATCAAACCGCATGCTTGTGTGTCCGGGTGGGAGATTCATGTGATTGGTTGTTGGTCGAGCTTCAGACACGCCCGTCGGCAAGCTTCAACGCACGCTGCAGTGTGGACGCTGCGTTAATGTATCATTGGTGCTCGAGTTGACTGCCTGAACTAGCTCGCAGGCTTCGCCCAACTAATTACATTTACTTTATTTATTAGTTTTAGAGAGGCCAAGCCAACATAAGAGGCCTTTGGGGTTTTCCCGTTCCTGTTGTGTCCAACACATAGTACGTGATAGGCTAAGAGGCGGGACATCTCTAAGCAGTTGACCAATCACAACAGCGCCGGCCAGCTTACCAATCAGAGCAGACTGGGCTCTGGTTTCAGACAGAGGGTGAAAAGAGGTGCTGCAGCACAGGCAGTATGAGAACAATAAAGAGCTTTTTGAACTTTAAGCATGCAGGTCACAGTAGAGACACAAAAAAACTAATATGAACCTGAAAATGAGCAGAATAAATGTGTGTCCTCTATAAGCCACTTTTGACATAATTGATGCACACTTTATATTGTCTGATGAGCAAAAGGTTGAATTGACTTTAAGAAAATTATACTTAGAAACACAATAACTTATGTTTGGTAGCCACACTTTACCTCAGTGTGTGCCTGTGTGTGTCCGACAAACATTGGTTCCTACTTATGTCGATGAGAGCCTATTGGTTCTGACACATTTGTTCTTATTTCTTTTCAAAGAATGAGCTACATGCTCATAGAACTGGAGTTTCATCCACCTAACACTATTTTCCATTGTATTTTATCCTTGTTGCGACGACACATAGATCCCAGACATACAGTGCCAATGAAGTGGTCCTCCACTTGGCTCTTGATGACACCCCCCCAAACGTCATGATTGAGTGGGTGGATATTGATCCCCAGGCTTTCACAGGTACAGTACACTACATCCACAATCAACACTCCTATGTTGATAACGCATGGTTCCTCTCCAGCTTATAGCGTGTTTTTCACCCTCAGAGAACGGCGAGTGGGCCATTGTCCATCGTCCAGCCAGGAAAATGATCTACGAGCGCTACACCCCAGATGACCTGGAGTATCAGGAGATCTTGTTCAATATTGTCATCCAAAGGAAGCCCCTCTTCTATGTCATCAACATCATCCTGCCCTGCTCCCTCATCTCCTCTCTGGTAGTGCTGGCCTACTTCCTACCTGCTCAAGGTCTGTAGAGCCATTTTCCTACTGCTATTATTACATCGAATATGATGGTGTTATAAAATATCAAGTCTCGTAATTGTACGGGCCTTTGATCTGAACAAAACTCATCGAAGTTACTCTGATACTGAACATGATAAATAAAAGGCTCCAAAGAGCTGCTTTTTGGGGTTTTTTAAACCTCTCGTGTAGTGTTTCTCAAACGTTTTCATACCAAGGAGCAAGGACCACTTAACCAATAAAAAAACACTCGCGGACCACCTAACTCCACAAATATCCAAAATCACATCGTTTTTTCTAGAACAGATTACAAATCGCCTGAAAATGGTACAAGCAAGTGGCAGCATGTGTGATGAAGAAGGTGTTGCGCTGGGCTATATCATGCATCAAACTTAATCTCGCTCCATTGCGGAGATATTCCCGCGAGAGTGCGAAAAACTTAAATGTATTTATTTATTTCAAATGTGACTTTATAATTGTACCAATATACTCACGGACCACTAGGGGGCACTGACGGACCACCATTGGTCCGCGGACCACACTTTGAGAAGCACTGCTCTAGTGTGTTATAAGGATTCCTTTGTTAACTTCTGGAACAAAGTTGTATCACTAACACTTGCGCTTCTATTGGCTAGCGCTCAAACACATTGTACGTGATAGGCTAAGGGGCGGTACGTCTCTAAGCAGTTGACCCATCACAACAGACAACAGCTAACCAATCAGAACAGACTGGGCTCTGGTTTCAGACAGAGGGTGAAAAGAGGCAGTATGAGAAAAATAAAGAGCTTTTTGAATATTAAAGCTTGGAGACATGTCCCAGTAGAGACACTACATACTGATATGAACCTAACATTTAGAATAATGTGTCCTCTT